GAATGAATGTATGACAGTTTGTTTGATCATTAACTTACTGTAGGATATTCTGGATTTTTCAAGGTTTTTGCTATCACAAATAAAGTTGCTATCAACAATCACGCACAGGTTTTTCTGAGGAAAGAAGTCTTCATTTCTCTGGGATAAATGGCTATGCATACAATTGCTGAGTCACATGGTAAGTGTATGTTTAATTTTTTTAAGAAACTGCCAGATGGGGCCAGCCCAGTGGCGTAGTGGTTAAGTTTGCACACTCTGCTTTGGGGACCCAGGGTTCACAGCTTCAGATCCTGGGCACGGACCTAGCACCATTCATCAAGCCATGCTGTGACAGCATCCCACATAAAATAGACAAAGACTGGCACAGATGTTAGCTCAGCGACAATCTTCCTCAAGCAAAAAGAGGACGACTGGCCACATATGTTAGCTCAGGGCCAATCTTCCTCACCAAAAACAAAGAAACTGCCAGACTATTTTCTACTTATACACCATACCCCAATACATACCATACTACCATACACCAATGTATGAGAGATCCAGTTTCTCCACATCCTCACCAGCATTTGGAGTTGTCACTATTTTTCATTTTAGCTGTTTTTAATAGATGTCTAATAATGACATCTCATCAAGGTCTTAAATATCTCTTCATGTCTTTTATCCATTTTCTAACTGGACTGCTTGTTTCCTAACTGTTGAATTTAGGAATTCTTTACATAGGCCAGATATAAATTCCTTGTCAGATATGTGGTTTGCAAATATTTTCTCCCAGTCTGTAGCTTGGCTTTTTAACCTCTGAACAGGGTCTTTCTCAGAGTAAAAGGCTGTAATTTTGATAAGGTCCATTTTATCAATTTTCAAAAAATGGATGTTTTTGTTTTATTTTTGAGGAAGATTAGCCCTGAGCTAACTACTGCCAAGCCTCCTCTTTTTGCTGAGGACGACTGGCCCTGAGCTAACATCTGTGCCCATCTTCCTCTACTTTATACGTGGGATGCCTACCACAGCATGGCTTCCCAAGCGGTGCCATGTCCACATCCAGGATGCGAACCGGCGAACCCCGGGCACTTAACCACTGCACCACTGGGCCAGCCCAAAAAATGGATCATGTTTTTGGTGTCATGTCTAATAACTCTTCTCCAAGCCCTAGGTCACAAAGACTTTCCCCTGTGTATTTTTCTCTAAGTTTATAGTCTTACATTTTATGTTTATGTTCGTTATCTATTTTTGTACAAATACAAGGTTTAGGTCAAGGCTCACTGGTTTTACCTGATATCCAATTGCTCCAGCACCATTACTGAGACTACCCTTCTTCCACTGAATTACCCTGGCATCTCTGTCAAAAATCAGTTGGCCACACTTGTGTAGGGCTATTTCCAGGTTCCTATTTTGTTCCATTGATCTACATGTCTATTGCTCTGCCAATACCACCCAGTCTTGAGTACAGATTTATTTTATAACTCTTGAAGCTGGGTAAAGTGACTCCTCCCACTTTACTCCCCTATTTCAAAACTGTTTTTAGCTATTCTAGTTCCTTTGCCTTTCCATATAAATTTTAAAATAATCATGTCTATATTTACAAAAGATTTTGCTGGAATTCTGACACAAATTGCATGAAATCTGTATATTAGTTAGGGGAGAACTCATCTTTACTTTGCTGAGTCTTCTAATCCACGCACACAGTATGTCTCTCATTTAGCTCTTTTTTGATTTCATCAGCCACACTTTTTAAAAGAAATTTAAGCACGTTTTTTTAAAAAAATGGAATATTTAACCTAAAACTCTAGATTTCCAGCTTTTCTTTAAAGACCTGAAGATGAACCCAGCAATGTTATTCGGCAACAAATGGCTGGAGCTAGGTAGTTCTTGCTCTTCTCTCTCGTTTTTGGAGGGAAAATGATAGGCTCCCTAGTTCACCACCATTCCTCTACCAATCCTTTCTGATCTTCAACAGTCTGTCACATGTCAGCTATGATTTATCATCATGCTGTATTTCTCTATATCTATCTCTATCGAAAATGGGAAAAGAAAACATATCAAGCATACAGCATTTTCTACCCTGCCTCATCCCCTTTGGAATCTACAATTACAACAACATGGTAAATATGACAAAGAGATATGGAAATCACTGGGTTAACTTAGTTTAAATAGATGATCCTGGCCAAAAAATCCACTTGATCTATCAAGTTCACTACCTTCACCAATAAAGTGAACTATTTGTAAACTATCAATTTTGTTTCACTCTGGTGTTAAATCTGGCCACAAATAACTGAAAATCTTCTCTATGTTTACTGACATAATAAAATTGTTATGCAAATAAGTGAGTCAGCACTTTGAGGATATTTAAAGTGCTATCTAGAGTTCATTTTTAATAGCCTTCATTTACCAATTATTCTTCTTCCAGCTCAACTCATATAGAGTAAATTAGTGACAGCAAAAATAGAAACTAAGTACAAGTAAACCTATACAAATCTAACCTTAATGCCTAGATTTCTGGGCATTGGCAGGGATAAACTAGAACTAAAAAGAGTAGGGATTAAAAGTTCTAATGCTGGCTTTATCAAAAACTTATGACCAAAAGGAAGGCACTATGTGTATCAAATGATGGGGAAAAATATCACTATAGAATCTAGTAATTCAGAAATTGTTGATATTAGCAAAGAACAATTAATACAACTTAGCAATGGCTATATGTCTATTTCTTTCCACAAACTTTTTTTTTTTAGATTGGCCCTGAGCTAACATCCTCCCTTTTTTTTCGCCCCAAAGCCCCAGTACATAGCTGTATGTCCTACTTCTAAGTCCTTCTAGTTCTTCTACATAGCATGCTGTCACAGCAGAGCTTGATGAGTGGTGTGTAGGGGCACAACCAGGAACCGAACTGGTAAAACCCAGGTCGACGAAGCAGAGCACATGAACTTAACTACTAAGCCACTGGGCCAGTCTCCCACAATCTCTTAACTATCTTTTCTTCCTCTTTTTGCTTGAGGAAGATTGTCCCTGAGCTAACACCTGTGCCAATCCTCTTGTATTCTGTATGTGGGATGCCACCACAGCATATCTTGATGAATGGTATATAGATCCGTGCCTGGGATTTGAACCCATGAATCCCGGGCCACCGAAGGGAAGCATGTGAACTAAACCACTATGCCACGGGGCCAGCTGCTTAAATATCTTAAGAAACGGAAAGAAACTACCTGAAATTTAACATTGGTATACTTCTACCTCTTTCCCCTACAACTCCTCAAAAAACAGGAAGCTATGGATTATCTATCCCTAAAATCACTCTTCACTGATTGTAAGACTTTAACTCCATTATTCTAGAGATACAGTTGAATGATATTAAACTCAACAATCAACCAAGCCTTCATCAAATTAAGGAGCAGACCAGAATTGAATTCAATAAATGTTTTGTGTGTCTACTACATGCTGGGCAACAGAGCTAAGTAAGACTCATTCTCTGCTTTTAGTAGGTTTAATCTAATAGAAGAGAGATAATACTAAAAAGAAAAATTTAAAAAGACCTCCTATATAAACTCTACCCAGAGATCAGAACTCTGAAATCGTGGGAAACAGCTTGGGAAATTTTTTCAGGTATATGTATGCGCATATATCCAAATTTTTTAAAAACAGAAAAATTCAATTATACCATTTTGTAACTTTTCAGAGTTTACATCATTTCATGTCAACTAATATACTTAAAAAAAAAAACAGCATTTTTAATGAGGTACAGAGTATTCCATCAGAACACGTGCCAAATTTTACCTAACGAATATCCTGTTGCTGAATGCTCACACTTAAGTTTTTCTTAACTGGGGGGGTGGGGGATGGAAATCCAGGGGAAAGAGTTACAGCTAACATCATTAACAGTTGTAAATTCAACCAACATGCTCTATAAAGAATGCCAGCTAAGGTATTCATCTCCAAAAGATGTGGGTTTTTAAAGTATCTTATAGAGGTATTCCAGTTCACTAATTAATCACACCAAAACAAACAAACAAAGCCCCACTCTAAAATGAACCTGAGAATTCTTATTGTAGATATTGTTCCTACAGGTCTAGATACGCCCATTGTGTCTAAACACACACACACACACACACACACACACACACTCCATCACAGACTTCCAGAAAACAGGGCTTCATGTCTTGATATCTTTAGCTCTGTCCCCTCCCTCTCCCTGCTACTGTGAATGTCCTATTCCAGGCCTTCATATGACTTTAATCCCCAAAGTGTTTGCAATGACTCTTTCCGACTTTCATCTCTGCCCACTCTAAATAATCCTACACATATTTCTATAAAAAACTTTCTGAAGCAAAATATAACCTCACTGCTTGAAAAATTCCTAATCCCAATTATTAGAGAATAAATATTGCCCATTTATTATTTAATACTTTCAGTATTCAGTTGAATGATATGGTCACTAATCCACCTTCCAATCTTATCTACTTTCTGTCAAATACCCTCCTGTCAAATCCTAGTGTAGTACTCAGTTCTTTGGAAAGCCTCCAACTTCCTACCCTATTACATATGCTGTTATCTCACTCCACATACACACATCACAGAACATCTCTTTATAGATACAGAATCCCAGACCTGGAAGGGATCTTACAGATATCCTAGTCCTCTCAGCCTTGATTTAAATTAGAAACTTCTATCACTTAACCAAGAGCCACAAAACTCCCAATCTAGCACTCTTTCCATTACAGAGTGGTTCTCAAACTCTAGTCTGCTGAACCACCAACCAAGTGGTTATTAAAAACACAGATTTCCAAGTCTCATCCGCAAAGTTCATGCTCTAGTAATATAGTTTAGGGCCAGAACTCACTTTTTTTTTTAACAAGCACTTCAGGTTATTCTGAAGTAAGGGGTCAAAGTTTCAGACCATAAGAAGAAAACTACAGGAAAAACAGACTGCAGTAAGAATATGTAGCCTTTAGCATATCATCTGAAATTTTCCATTTCTGCCCCCATATTGGAAGCTCCAAAAAACAGCTACTCACTGCTACTTGTGCGGAATCCATAAATCTCAATCCAAAATAGTCACTTTCAATTAGGTCCAAGTGGTACATAATCTGATCAAACAGCTCTTGTCCTTTGGCTTTTTTCTGAAATAGTAAGAAAACATATTAATCAATAAGTGGCTCACAAGATCAACAAGCCTGAATTGAAGACGGTCTTAGTTATATAAGACCTCTTAAAAAAGCATTACTGGCAATACCCAAAGTATAACCATGTAGCAGGCAATAGGTAAGATATTACAGCTTCCCAATAAACCATTTAAGGCAAAAAGAGAATTTGTGATCTATACACGCTTTCCTGGAGAGTGTTACTTCCTATCAACCAACAAATACTACTTTGTACCTAATGCTCTGTGTAAGCAAAACTCTTATTTTGTCTTGTCAATTTTTAGAGTCCCTACTTTAAAGGAGCTTTATAATGTAATTGGAAAACGAAAACTTAAGTAAAAATCAAGTGGAATTAACTACACTTGTCAACAGATTTTAGACAAGAGATAGTCACAGAGATTAGAACCATCAGTGAAGACTTACAGAAAATCAGTTTTACGCCAGAAAAGAATGTAAGGTAGGAAATAGCAAAAACAAAAATGGCAGGTGGGAGGGAATATGAGACAATGAGAAAAAGCACTGTCATCAACGCAGAAGATACCAAACTGGACGGGGTAATAGCGAAGAAACTTTATGGAAAAAGCAGTTCTCAAAGTGTGGTCTCAGGACTCCTGAGGGCTCCCCATATCCTTCTAAAAACTCCACAAGGTCCTAGGATTCTCCTCACGTACCTCAACCAAAACAACACACTGCAACACAGTGAACGCAGAAGCAGGAAAGAGTTAGTTTTAAGTATGCTGTATTAAACCAGACATTAAAGAGGTTTACGAAAGTGCAGAAAACAATGCTACCATTCTCACTAAATTCTTTGTTGTTTAGTAAAATAGTTATTTTCCATAAAAATCTTGCTTATGTTAACACACAAGGGGTATATTATCACTGCTTTTAAATTAGCCAATAGATAAATATTTTTTAAATTTTTCAGTTTTAATTTCTAATATGGTAACTATCAAGAGATATAACCCACATAAGCAAAAGCACTGTTGGGATCTCCAATTTTTAACAATTTTCATATATACGCTATCCATGCCCCTCCTCCCTATATAATTTTAAACCATGATTTAGGGTACTTCTTGTAAAAAAAAAAAAAAAAGTATATATACGTATATAGATTTTTTTCTTACTGAATCATCAGGTTCTGCCTTTTAACTGACAACTTGGTTTCAACTTGTCGTTTGCTTTTTCTGCGCTTCTTCTGACATCCTTTCTTTTTGATAAATAAAATTGTTATCCACATATCCCTTTATCAAGACAACAACTTTACCAGGCCCTCATGTCCCTGATCTCCCCTCCACCCAATCCTCATCACATTTTATGGATATACTTCCTGTATTTCTTTTCTTTGGTCATGCCTAATTCTTTTAAGACAATTTTTACTTTGGAATTTGATCATTCTTTACACGTCTCACATGTGTACATTACACATATCTAGTAGCTTCTGCTACATCTGTTTCTCCACTCATTTGAGTTCTTCCTCCAGAAATGTTCTCCATGTGAGACTTAGTATGCTAATCTTCAAAGGTCTTCTATGTCCAATAATTTTTTTTTGAAGAAGGAGAAGATTAGCCCTGAGCTAACTACTGCCAATCCTCCTCTTTTTGCTGAGGAAGACTGGCCCTGAGCTAACATCCATGCCCATCTTCCTCTACTTTATACGTGGGGCGCCTACCACAACAGGGCTTTTGCCAAGCAGTGCCATGTCCACACCTGGGATCAGAACTGGCAAACCCTGGGCTGCCAAGAAGCAGAACATGCGAACTTAACCTCTGTGCCACCAGGATGGGCCCTCTGCAAGAATAGTCTAACCATGTTCTTATACTTGAATGACACTTGGTTGGATATCAACTTCAAGGTTCAAAGTTATTTCCTTTCAATACTTTCAATACTCAAAATATATTACTCTATCATCTTCTTGCAATCCATGCTGCTGTTGTAAAGTGTGATGGCACTTTTAATCTTGTAATTAATTTTAATCTTGGTAGAAGAGAAAAAAAAGAAGACTGGCAACAGATGTTAGCTCAGGTGCCAATCTAAAAAAAAAATTATACACAATTAGCTTGGACACAGTAAATATGAGTGCTATTCTTGCACTATAAACAAAATGCTAAAGAAATGAAGTTAAGTCTGCCTGAAAGTACTGAAGGCTTCAAAGGAATCTGCATTTGAAATTGGGCTTGGAAGAGTTAACAGAACTCTGCGACCCTAAGAAAAAAACACAATGAACAGTTATGAAATCTTGACAGGGTATGGTGGAGTTGAGGAAACAGACAAGAGACAGGGAGGAGGAAGAAGACAAAGTGGCAGAAGCTGCCAATGTGATTCTTCCTAAAACTGCAAAACAGACACCGCTCTGATCTTTAAAATCCTTTAATTATTCCTCTTCCTCTACAGACTAAAGTGCAAATTCTGGGGCATAAAATAGAGTCTTTCCAACATGTTCCTTGCTTACTATTACAACCTCATCTCCTGTCACTCCAGCATTTTTACCCCCTAATAAATTTCCCCAAAAAGTCATGCTTCTGAGCCTTAGCAAAATGCAGTTCTTTCTGCTTAGAATGTCCTTTGGGTCTCTAAAGGACTCTTGACTCTGGCTTCTCAAGAATCAAGACATCTGCATTACCTTCCAATATTCCTGACAGAATGAATCCTCCTTCCTCTCTGTACTACCTTATAATGTCAGTTAGGACAGAGTCTACGCGAAAGTATAGAGCTGTAAAATAGTCTACCACGTTTGGGCAATAAGAAGAAGGTCCAGTGTGGCCAGAGTACATGGAAAATGGATGTGAGATCCTTGATTCCAGGGGCACTGTCTTATTTACTTTTGTATACTCTTTCACTTTGCAGCTACTGAAAACGAACCAAGTGGAAAAGGAAACGTGAAAACAGATCTGTAGAGCTCTGGTTCACTAAACATTCCATTTTCAGCTGCATCTAGACCAGCACTTGCTACTTAAACTATTCTTTTCTTTCTTTCTAACAAATTATCCTATGTCACACCTCTTTCAGGCCCAGTTCTCACTTCACATTCTCTTTTCTGAAGACTAAGACCATCAATAGTATCTTTCCATCAGCATTCCATCTTTTTCAGAATAAGATAGCAGTCTTCCTAGAATGTTCCTCCTACCATCTCCACCTGTGTATATGAAACCAATTCCTAAGGAACATTCTTTCTATTCATTCAAACAAACTCAGATCTCCCTTATGCAGTCATTCTTTAGCTGCTATGTTATTTCCTTCCTGCCTTTTACTGCCAAATCTCATGGCAATCCCCCATTTTCCCTTCATGCACTTCCTCCAACAACTAAACAATATTTATTAAGCACCCACTGGGTATAAGGGACTATAAGAAGTCCATCCAATAAGTCTTTTAAACCCTCTAAAATCTGGCTTCCAAACACATCATCCCACTGAAGCTCTTTTCTCCACTTCATCTTTTACCCCTTTCTCCATAACAGCTAACCACCATCTCATGATCTTCCACACAATCTATATTACCCCCTCTACCACAGTTAAAACTATATTGTGCTCATTTCTAATCTTCACCGTATCCCTGTACTAAGCATTCATTCTGCTACAATCTCCCTGCCACTACTAGTCTGCAGTCCCATCATTTTGCACTTTCATTACTGTACACTCTCCAAGTTGCTTTTTATCCCTGACAATGAATCAAACATACCACCTTTACATTAAACCTCTATGTCATTTTTATCATATCTCTTGACCACTAAAAAAACCTTAAGTGGAATAAAACACAAATATACAAAAATTCATGCATTCTTTTTCTAAACAGCTTTGAGATATAATTTGCATACCATACCATTCACCTGTTAAAAGTGTACAATTGAAAAGTGTATGTTCTGACCGTCATATCCTCGGGTTCCACATCCACTGATTTAACTAACGACAGATGGAAAGGCCTACAATGATTGTGTCTGTACTGAACATGTACAGATCTTTTTTCGTCATTATTCTCAACAATACAGTATAACAACCATTTACATAGCATTTACATTGTATTAGGTAGTATAAGTAATCTAGAGATGATTTAAAGCACACAGGAGAATGTGTGTAGGTCACGTGCAAATACTACGCCATTTTATATAAGAGACTTGACCACCTGTGGATTTTGGTTCCTGGGGGAGGAGGGTCCTGGAACCAATCCCCCGCAGATACCAAGGGACAACTGTATTCACAGATACGTACAACCATCACAATTACTTTTAGAAGATCTTCATCGCCTCACAAAGAAACCTTGAATCCTTCAGCTATTGTGCCCAACCACCCTTCCCACTGTCCTCTCAGCCCCTATCCCTCTGCGCTAAGCAACCACTAATCTACTTTTTTTACCTATGGATTTCTCTATTCTGGACTTTCACATGAATGGGATCATATACTATGTGGTCTTGTGTGACTGGCTTCTTTCACCTACCATAATGCTTACAAAGTTCATCTATGTAGCATGTACCAGTACTTCGTTTCCTTTACGGCCAAATAATATTCAACTATATGGATATAACATTTTGTTTACCCATTCATCTGCTCACAGCCATCTGGGTTATTTCTCTCTTTTGACTATTAAGAATAATGCTATTATGAACATCTGTGTACAAGCTTTTGCATAAACCTCTCTTTCCAGTTCTCTTCGGTATATACCTAGAAGTGGAATTGCTGGGTCACAGGGTAACTATGTTTAACCACTCGAGGAACTGCCAGACTGTTTCCCAAAGCAGCTGCACCACTTTCCATTCCTGCTGAAAAAGGAACTGTAAGACTGTTCAGATTTCTCTACATCCTCACCAGCACTTAACATTGTCTCACATTTTTATTTTAGCCTTCCTAGTTGGTATGAAGTAGTATCTCACAGTGGTTGTGATTTGCATTTTTCTGAGAACTACTAACGTCAAGCATCTTTTCATGTGCTTATTGGTCATCTGTATATCTCATTTGGAGAAAAGTCTATTCAGATTCTTTGCCCATTTTTAAATTGGGTTGTCTTTTTATCATCGAGTTGTAAGAGTTCTTTATATATTCTAGACACAGGTGCTTATCAGATATAAAATTTGCAAATACTTTCTCCCATTCGGTGGGAGAGTCTTTCAACTTTCTTGATGGTGTCCTTTAGGTGCACAAGTTTTTAATTTTGATAAAGTCCAATTTATTTATTTTTTCTTTTGTTGTTCATGTTTTTGGTGTCATATCTAAGAAACTGGTGCCAAATCCAAGGTCATGAAGATTTATCCTCTTATTTTCTTCTAAAAGTTTTACAGTTTTAGCTGTTAGGTTTAGGTCTTTGATCCATTTTGAGTCAATTTTTGTATAAAGTGTGAGGTAAGGTTCCAACTTCATTCTTTTGCACGTGACTATCCTCCAGTTTTCCCAGGACCACCTGTTGAAAGGCTAATTTTTCCCCCACTGAATGGTTCTGGCACCCTTGTCAAAAATCAACTGACCATAGATGAGCGGGTTTATTTCTTAGTTCTCTATTCTGCTCCATTGATCTATGTGTCTGACCTTGTGCCAGGAGCACATCATTTTGATTACCATCGCTTTACAGTAAGGCTTAAAACTGGCAAGTGTGAGTCCTATTCCTTTGCTCTTTTTCAATGCTGTTTTGGCTACTGTAGGTCCCTTGCAATTCCATATAGATTTTAAAATCAGCTTGTCAATTTGTACAAATAAGTCAGCTGGTATTCTGGTGGGGATGACGTTCAATCTGTAGATCAGTTTGGAGTGTACTCTCATCTTAATATTAAATCTTTCAATTAGTGAACAAGGGATGTTTTCCCATTTATTTAAAGGTACAACTATACATGGTCTATAGAATTTAACTACATACATATCTATGGAACTTAAAATCCTCAGCATATTAGCAAAGTAGGTATATCAAAAATTACTATCAGTTAATCAAATATTTCCTACTAATTTAAAGGAAGATGCAGAGTTTTACAAGACAGGCTGTTTATTAAACAATGCTAAACTCAAAAATCAATCAAAGGAGTTACTGTGGCATTTCCAAAGAGAAAATTTAAAAATCAGATAGTTAGAAATTTCTCCCTGATGCCTTTATCACTCACTGAAAGGCATTCTCACTGTATTTAGTTCTTTAAAACAAAAAAAGAGGTAGAAAGTATTTAAATTCTGCCCCCAGTTCTGAGAGGAAAAGAGAGCAGAAGGAAGAAAATGACCATTACTACTTGGTATATATTAATTTGAAGTCTACAGATTTAAATTACTCTATTTAATCACAGATAATCCCTTACATATTGCCTGAGCAACCATCCTAGTTCCACGCGGGCTTACTATGATCACTAGTGACCCTAATCCTAATGGGAAATGAATTACATGCTTCATTCAATTCCAAAATCAATTCTAAACCTTCTTTCAGAATCATACTAGACTGGTTGAGACGTTAAATCAGAAAAAGAGAAAATCTTTTCTTTTTAGAAATTAACATTCCTCTGGTCTATTTTTTTTTCTTTAGTAAGGCAGGTTAGCTGGCAGACCAATGCCCATTTTTTATCCATGCAAGCATGAGGAGTTAGTTTACTAACTCTAGAATTTCACCTGCAGAGCTGAAAAGGCAATTGTTCTATCTCTCCAAACAGTCAAATCTAAAACTCTTGGTTTCTTCACTGCAATTGTCTGCATGAGCGGTCAGGTAGCATTTCTGGCCTTGATCAAGTATCACATACACCCTTACTGAGCATACTAAGCATAGGAAACTATTTTATACCAGTCACTAGCCATTTGTTCCACTACTTTAAAACTTAGTGCTATTTCTCCTCCACACACACTGCCTCTTAAAAAAGCTCCTTTACAAACTCTACTTTCCTAGTATCCACCTCTCCATCAACAACCTTGAGATTTCATACTTTAAACATTAGGTAATAAGAAACTTCTTTCCGGTCTCTTACACAGCAATCTCAAGCTTTTCACTACATACCTAATGACATTTTAATGGAATAGTAGACAAAACTCTTAAGGTACTTATCAAATAAGTAATGAACATGAAAACTATCCTCACAAAGTATCACATATTAGAAAGTCTCACAAACCCTCAAGAAGCCCTTAACGGAAGAAAATTTAAATGCCTTAAAGTTTTCCAGAATCAAAAACCCTAAAAATGTCCAGTCTAATGTACAAAGATAATAAATACTCATAACGATGACTTCTGAACACTTGAAGAAATCCTGCATCTCTGATTAATTTTATCACATTCCATTATTTTAAAAATGTGTAAGGGATCTAGTACATTCTAAATTATTCAATTAATCAGAATATCCATTTAAACAAACTCTTCAATTCCTTAATCTCTCACTCTGAGTCTAAGGCCTTCCAGAGCCTAGCCAACCACGTACGATAGCAGCACTCAGGCTATCACCGCACACAAAGAGACCCTATTGCATTTTGGGTACGTGAACATGTGCTAAAAAAAGTTTGTGAAGAGAGAAGACAGTGTGGAATATCCAGTGATGCTTACACCAAGTTGCACCTTTTACAGCTTAATTATGTAAATCTTTTAATGCAAAATGAAGACATACGAAAGAGACTTGGTCTCAGTAAATAGCTCAGAAAGAAACTCAATTCCCTCAAAACCACATAGTACCTCCTCCTCCCCTCAAAAAAGGGCTTGTAAGGAATAAGTCAACCTCTTTCAAATATGTTGGATTGTTTCACACTGCATTATGCCTAGGTATTTGTAACCACAAAAAAAAACTACCCAAAATTTGAAAAGAATTACAACAAACTGTCCTGAAATAAAGACTACAGTGTACAAAAAACCTCCCCTGCAAACTACTTTGGGAACAAAGAGATAGGCAGTCAGAGCTGAGAGGTATGAAGAAAGTCTTTTTTCTTACTTTGTTTCATTAAAATTTCTGCAAGTACACCAAACTGTTGAGGAAGTATTTGTTTTCAGAAAAGTGAAGAGTGTTTTGAAAATTAAGGAAAAGTACAGAGAACTAAAAGTCTTACAGTATACATATAAGTATCATTATTGGTCCCAAAGATTTTCCTTGTTTTAATAACTGCTCTACAAGGATTGTGAGAAATCCACTAAAGTACACTACGCACTGCCATCATAAAGAACATATATAAACACAGACACAAATGACTTGTGCCAATAACTGCCCTACCATTTAAATGTTTTAGGTAACTGCCACTAATCCCAGAGAAATACTACCATTCCAGGTACCTAAGGTTACCTGATGCACGTACCTGTCTGTTACGATGCCTGATCCATACTAACCCATATTACCTAATCCCCCAGTAAGTTATCATCAGAAGGCTCAAACGAAGAAAGTCATCTCATACAGAATTTCCAAAAGGTCAGCAAGACCTACATACCGGCAAGTCCACACTGACATCAGTCCCATCCAGGAGGGACACCCGACACGTGATGATGGACTTCGAATCTCCAGCTGCAGGAATGTGGGTGGCAGCTCGCTGAGCTTCTCGGAGTCGTTCCTTCTCAGCATGTTTACGCATTGACCGACGCCCAAGCGTTCTACGCAAGAAACTCAGCATTTTTGTCTCTATAAAACCAGACAGAAAAAGATATCAGAAGACTCTCCACAATCTGCAGTCAGACAAATGGTATTACTTAGAAAAGTCCTGTGGACATTAGCAGATACGCTATTAAAAAGGGCTCCTGGTCAAGTAAATTTGAAAAAACGTAATTAAAACTGGCTACTTTAATTCAAAATTTTTAAAGACTTTTACATAAAATAGAGCTATGAGGGGCTGGCCCCGTGGCTGAGTGGTTAAGTTCGCGCGCTCTGCTGCAGGCAGCCCAGTGTTTCGTTGGTTCGAATCCTGGGCGCGGACATGGCACTGCTCATCAAACCACGCTGAGGCAGCGTCCCACATGCCACAACTAAAAGGACGCACAACGAAGAATACACAACTATGTACTGGGGGGCTTTGGGGAGAAAAAGGAAAAAAATAAAATCTTTAAAAAAATAAAAATTAAAAAAATAGAGCTATGGCTTAGAGCATTTCTAAACTTACTGGACTATTTTAGAAGGAGATGGTCTGGGAGGACAGGGCAAAGATTTATGAAGTTCATCAGGTCTTTTGGGTCAAGGAATTCTATGTACAATAGCTGTATATCCCCACAAACATGAGGAGATGATGTCACACACTAAGGTATCCTTTGACGATCATAACAATCCTAAGTAGTTCCATTTTTTTTTCTGAGCATTCATGATAAGAATACAAAAATAATCATTTATTTCAGCTACAATACAAATATAATTCAAATACTTTAAGTTTTTATCAGCTGATTCTACTATCACTTACATATTTTAAATTGCTACCCAATTCTTTATAAAAGTCAAATTACTTTAGTGCTATTTCTTTCCTTATCTCTATTAAGAACATAAAGGTTAATCAAAATAATTAGGGGCTGGCCCCATGGCCGAGTGGTTAAGTTCGTGCGCTCCACTTCGGCAGCCCAGGGTTTTGCCGGTTTGGATCTTGGGCGCGGACGTGGCACCACTCATTAGGTCATGTTGAGGCGGCGTCCCACATGCCACAACTAGAAGGACCCACAACTAAAATATACAACTATGTACTGGGGGACTTTTGGGAGAAAAAGGAAAAATAAAATCTTAAAAAAAAAATTAAAACAGGTATTAGGAATTTTTAAAATATAGCACACATAAAATGGAAACACCATAAGAACCACCTTGCTAACCTAACGTCACACAACTAAGAGAGTTTGAGAAAAAAAAGTACATACTATGTAAGTAAGCCAACAGATAAACAAAAAGACAATTATTAATTCCTGAGAAAACAAGAAGGTGTGCAGAAAAGAAAAAGTAATCACAGTATACTACACGACTCAGCTAATAGTTTAAATAGTCATAATACTATAAACACTAAATAGTGATCTCACCATAACTATAAAGTAACTACAATTGAGAGGAGGTGTATAGTAGAGGTAGGTGTGGACAGACAGCTAATTCCTCATCTTGCCTAGTGGGAATTCAGATAATTCCTAAACACATAATTCCTAAAACTAAAAATAAAAAAATAGCAATAAGAGAATGTTATTTAAAATGTGAAAGTGGCTGCCTTGAGGAGGGAGCAGAATTCAGGAGAGTGCTGTTTTTCAAAAGAAGCCTTCAGATTAGACAACTCTTTCAACTACAAACATTTATAAACTCGATAAAAATAAAAGCTAATTTTAAATACGATCACATCAAAAAATAAGTGCCTATAAGTTGAAGATTATCATAAACACAAGTGTGAATATTATAAGTATGGACATTCCTACATAACTGGGTAAACTGGCAAAGCCATGATATTTGTCATTTGTACATTCATCTGTTCAAAATCCCAAGGAAATAACTAAAATTTTAGATAGCTTTCCAGTTTACAAAGCACTCATACATAACATCTGGGCCCAGTCTCTTTCTCTCCAGGTCTCTTTTCAGGCATTGCTCCCTTTGTACCTTGCTCTCCTGTCTCATCTCAGCTGCCCATGAAAAGTCATACTTGTTATCCCAGACTTGTAACGCCCTTATGTCAGAGAATCCATACTTATTCCTTTTAACTCAACTCCACCTATATCTGCCGAGAAACATTCTATGATACCCAAAGTTAGTCGCTCCTATCATCACACTTCCATTGAACCTTGAAAATATTTTACTGCTTCACTAATCAGACCTTAATTCTTCATGTACATGTCTGTATCCTTGGTTGTAAGCTCCTTGAGGACACAATTCCCACTTTGAATAGCTAGCTATCGAGCACATTTCATCATCAAGTACCATAAATGTTTAGTAAATAATTTTAACTTCTTAGAAAAACTCCCCAAAGCATTGTCTTATTTTGATGAGTAAACCATTTCAAACCATTGCCCAAGTCCATTATTTAATAAATAGTGAAGACAGGGGTTCAAATTCTGATTTTCCGACTCCAAATCTTGGTCTCTTTCTACATCATAGAACTATTCATGTAAAACTCACATTTTAGAGACAAGAAATAAATTATCAAAGATTACAGCTAAAAAGAAGCTGAGAGAAAATACAAACACAAAATGTACATGATGAATTTTTTTAAAACTTAATTCAACTTATTCAACAAACAAATTGCAAGGTGGGAAAAAGAGTTCAGAGGAAACTACAGATTAAAAGAGACAAAATACATATCACTCAATCACAATATGTGGACGTATTTTAGACTCTAACTCAAACTTTTGTTTTAAGTTGTCAGACGTTGTGGGAAGCTGGGTGAAAGGCATATGCTAACTCTGTACTAGTGCTGGAACGTCTACATAAGTCTAAAGTTATTTCAAAATCAAAAAGTTTCAGAAGTCACACATTTGTTGGTATACATACAATAGATAAGAAGTCTTGTGTGACCAGCTGACGTTTTAAACTAGATGCATTTGTAAACATGATAAAAACAAAAGCTGAAATACCAAAATAAATACCAACATATTAAAAAATAATTCAGCAGCTATAAATTGAGGATTATACCCTCATTTCATAAGTATGCATACTCCTATGTAATTAAGTGAACTAGCAAAGCCATGATAATTGTCATCTGAACTTCCTAAGGACATAAATTATACATACACACATTTGACTGACTGGATCGTTAAAAGAGTCCTTCTCTCAGATACATCTTTTAAGATACATACTGAAATATTTATAGAAGAAATGATGTGATGACTAGTATTTGCATCAAAATAATACAAGGAAGGGAATTAAGTGGGGATAAAGGTGAAACTAACTGGCCAGAAAATTGGCCAGTAACTGAAGCTGCCTGATGGGTACACGGGGGTTCATTACACTCTCCTGATTACTTTTTCGTACATGCAATTTTTCCATATTGGGGGAAAAAAAGGCTTTTCAAGAGAAAAAAATGTTCAAAATGCACTACAACTTTGCAGTTCCTAGGAAGCAAATGAATTATAAAACAAGTTTTCTGACTTAGATTTATCCTACACCTTGAAAATAAAGACTCAGTATACAAGTAGAGTTAACCTCCTAAGGAACAACACAGCTTCTTTCACATTTAGAATTTTAAGAACTATGCATTTTGAACTATAAAACCCAGTGCCACAAATAACAAGTTCTTTTTACAAAAATATGAAAGCAATTTACATGAAAATAAATTTCAGATGGATTAAAGATTTTAAATGAAAGAAAATGAGAAAGTCTTAGAAGGAAACAATAGTATATTAAAGGGCTTTTAAAATTTGCAAAAAGAATTTTTTGAAGGATTAATATGCAGTTTAATAAAGAACTATCACAAATCATTAAGATAAACAACACAACAGAAAAAACTGGGCAAGATATGAAGAAAAAGTTCTAAAAAATAATACGTAATGAAAATACTCATTAAAAAGATGTTCAACCTCACCAGTAACCAAGGAAATCCAAATTAAAAAATAAGATATTGTCTGTCATTTAAAAGACTTAAGATAGCCAGTGTCGAAAAGCCATCGCCCTCATACAATGCCCTCCTTGAAAGAGGATTTGACCACACTATCAAAAATTTCCAGGGCCCCCAACCCCAGTGGCCGAGGGGTTAAGTTCCTGTGCCCTGCTTCAGTGGCCCAGGGTTTCACTGGTTCGGATCCTGGGCGTGGACATGGCAGCGCTCGTCAGGCCATGCTGAGGTGGCATCCCACATAGCACAACCAGAGGGACCTACAGTTAGAATATACAACTATGTACTGGGGGGCTTTGGAGAGAAGAAAAACAGAAAAAAACCATTTTAATGTGCATACCCTTTCACTCAGACTATTTCTGGTAGGTTATCCTAAAGAATTAGTCCCACAACTGCTCCAAGTTGTAAAAAACAAGGATTTTCAGGGCATAACTGACTTAAAAATTTAAATATATCCATCAACATGCAAGTAGTTAAGCAAATTTTGGTACATACAATGGCATACAACACAGCTATTTTTAAAATACAGTTGACAGACACTGACAAAATTTATAAGTGAAAAATGAAATCAGAGAAAAATGAATACAGTTTTATCCCAAACTGGGGTGGGATATATACGTACACATACTTATATTTTAGACACACACACACAAGGACTAGAAGGACATGAAGACTGTTACAGGAGGTTATCTCTGGAAAGGATCATGTCGAGGTACCTACATCTTCTATATAAGTACCTATGAACATGTCGTAAGAGTTTTTAAAAATTTATTGTTAAAAAAAGTTTTCCCATATTCACTCTTTTTCCACCTCTACCCCCAATGCCACTCTCCAGGCTGCAGCAGTGGGTTTTTAGCAATCACAAATCTGATCCCTGTTGAAAAATCTTTAACGGCCTTGCTCCCTGACCCAGCTCCTCCCACCCGCCTGACCCTTCCTGCAGACCTCTCCCAGCTGCTCACTCTGCTCTCCTACCCCTTCTGCTCAGCCCAAGAATCTTTTTCACTGCAGGCCTTCTTGTTTTTTTCTGCATTAGCTGACCATCCCTCTGGAATGCTCTTTTCCCACTTCACCTCTCCCCCACCCTCTCCCACTTCCTCAGAAAAGCATTCCCCCAGACTCCTGAATCCACATTAAGTGCTCCTTTTAGTACCTTAGCCTTTTCTTTATCACCCTTAAGGAAACTGTCATTAAATAGCCAATAGTTTGTTTATTTCTTTTTTGCTAGGTCCTTCCCCAACTAGGACTCAAGCCCTAGCACCTATTCTGACTTCTTCACGACTATGACCTAGCCAGCACAGCAATCTGCATATTAAGCGCTCAATGAAGAATTTACTTTGACACTAAAATGATACAGTGGAATTTTTGGATGGTTGGTTTATATGGGTTTTTTTTAAAAAACTGGTTTTTAATCTGTGACTTCTAATTTTTTGGCAATGAAATAACAAGAAGGGTTTCCCTTACAGCCATAAAAACATAAAGAGAAATAATCCGTTTACTACTCAAATTAACTGAAGTTTTTTCAATACATATCTAAAATTCAAAAGTTCGTCATGAAATCTATCTACTCTCACACAGAACCGGTGGCCGCAATCTTTGGTAAGCAATAGTTTTTTCATAAAGCAATATGCCAACCTACAATAAGTGCCATAAAGATATTAATATGTGTTATCCCAGTAATCCCGATACACAAAATGTAAGGGAATAACTCAAGAGAAATTACACACACCATTTTCTAATGAAGTTTATCCACAAAAAAAAGAAAACTCTCCTAACTAGTTTATCTGTACAAATAATCCACTATGTTAGCTAGGGTTCAGCAACGTGTTAGTTATGTTAGAAAGGCAGTTATGGGTTATTTTTTCCCGAATTCTTAAAAAAAATACTTTGGATATTAATTTAAGAAGCTGTCAAACGGTTTAAAAGACTTGGGTCTTCTTGCTCTTAAGTAAAATTCACAAGACTCAGTAACCATGAAGACAGTGGCAGGTACAATTAATGTTTACACGCGCAGGAACCCATCATTAACACGCCCCCTGCCTCCGCCCGCGGCGGGGAGGCCCCCGCAGACCCCGTCGCCGCGGGGCACACACCTGCCTCGCGCAATTTCCGAGTGGCTCAAGTTTTAGTCAAACGCAAACGAGCCCCAAAAGGACACTCGGGCTTTTGTTCCGAGGCCGTGACATGGGCTCGAGCGGCGTTCCCCCCTGGGCCCGCCCCGTCCACCTCGCCGGCTAACCCGCCCGGCCGGAGCGAAGGGCGACCCCGGGGGGCCGGCCCGGGCGGCGGGGGCGCAGGCACGCGGGAACCGGCTTCGCCCCTGGCGCCCGCTCCGGCCGCGCCGCCCGGTATCGCCCGAAACTCGGAGGCCCAGCCCATTGGCCGCCGCCGCCCCTCCCCTCGCGCGGGTTTAATGTTTTGCCGGCAGCCGGGACGCGGGGGGCGGCGGAGGGTCGGGGCGAGGCCGCCGCGGGAGGAGGGTCCCGGGGCCGCGAGGGCGGCGAGGCGCGGGGGGAGTCGGGGGCCGGCTGCGCGGCCGGAGCCGCCGGGCCCCGCGCTTACCTGGGCTGGGGGCGGCGGTGCGGCGACGAAGGGGGCGCGGGGCGCCGGCGACCCGACCGGAGACGGCCCGAGCGAGGCTGCGGGGTGCAGCTCCTCAGGAGACGCGGAGAAATGGCGGCCCGCGACGCGCCCACCTCACGTTAATCCCCCGGGGCCCCAGCCGCCCGCGGCCCGCCCCTAAAAGCCCCCTCTAAGCTCCGCCCTCGAGGGCGGGGCGCTCCGCTCTTAAATGGGCAACGACACCGCCCCGGAAATCGCCGGACTGGGCGAGACTTGGGTTAAACCGGCGATGCCCGGGGAGGCCGACCTGCAACCAGCACCTGCGGCCCGGAGTCGGCAGCGGATTTAAAGGGGTGCTGCCGAAACCCAGCTCTCGCTGCTGACCTCCGCCCTCGGACGGGGTGCGCGCCCGCAGGGGGCCCCAAAATTAGTCGTGTCACAAAGGCAGCTTAGCTCTGTGGGAGCCCAGCATCAGGTGCTGCTAGATTCATTCACCCATCCGTTCAAGAAACTAATTCATTCAGCAAAGATTTACTGCCCTGCTGTTCCAGGAACTTTCATTCTAGTGAGGAGGAAGGCGGTAACAAATGTGTGTTAAACAGAGATTGTATCGGGAAGAAAAATAAAGAAGGGAGCGGGAAACAGGAGATTTCTATTTAATACAATGTGGTCAGGGAGATCCTCTGTGACAAAGGGACATTTCATCCATTCTTTCTACAGATAATTTATGGAAGTGCCTACTATGGGCCAGGCTGTGTTTTAGACAGTGGAGATACAAAGGATAACCAAAACAAACAAAAATCCCTCCTGCAGCTTAAGTGCTAGCAGGAGAAACAGGAAATAAATGAGGTAAATTAGTAAAATTAAATAAATAAAAATAAATGCTATCTTTGTGCCATGAGTGGATGCCGACTCCTAGCGCCCCTGTGCACGGCAGAGTGGAACCGTGCCCGACTTGTCGCGCCATCCTCTCCCCTCCCTGCGCTCTATCAGACAGCGCTCTGCTGCTGTTCACAGGCTTGTCAAGGCCAGTTTTTCGGAAGTAGGTGGCCAGGTCCTTCTTCCTGGCCTGTCTGGTCTGGAAGCTCCGCTGAACCCTGTCCGCCATGGTGACCCTGCTGGTATTGGAAATACAGGTGGCCTAGCTTCAGCATCCCAGCAGCACGCAGCCGCCACAGTGTGACAACCGACAGACCTCAGACGGGGCGTGTGGCTCCCTGAGCGGAAAGGAGCCGGGCCTCGGCGGTGAGAGCGCCGAATCTCGACCACTAGACCCCGGGGCTGGCCAAATGCCATGGCAGGCATTGTTAAGTGATGAAGAGAAAAATAAACACAGGGAATAGAGAGAGGGAATGGGGGGCCGGTAATTTAGGTAGACTGGCTAGGTAAGGAGGAGGCGGGTCTCAATAAGAAGGTGGCCTTTTGAGAGAAGACCCGAAGGAGGCGAAGGAGGCGAAGGAGGGCCCCGTGGAGGAGCGGCAGAGGGGCAGGCAAAGGCCCTGCGAGGTGCCCCCGGGCCTGCTCGGAGAGCCAGTGTGGCCGGAGGTGAGGGGGCTAAGGGGAGCGTCCTGGGGGGTCAGTCAGAGGGGAGACGCGCGTCAGGGGAGGGCCGCGGGCGGGCGCCCTGGTCACAACGCCCAGCGCTGCGCGGGGTCAGGGAGTGTCGGCGGAGGACCCTGCTGGCTGAAAGAAGAGGCAAACATCATCGCCCCTTTTGGAGATTTGGCACCGCCTGTTCCTCCACCAGCCCCAGACTTCATAGGGGGCGTGGCAGGGACAGCTGGACCCTGCTCCCCCGGCGTCGGCTGGGAAGCTCCCCCGGGGCGCGCGGCGTCCCAGCTGCGGCGGCCGAGCCAACAGCGAGCTCCGCGGGGCCGCGCTCCAGCCGGGCGGTCGGGCGGGCTCAGCCCTCGCCAAGAGGGAACACTGCAGCTCCAAAGCCTGGTAAGGGAAATGCCCAGAAGTCACAGTGTCGCTTCTGTTGCCAGTTACTGGTCCACGCAAGTCACAAGGCCAAACCAGTTTCAAGAGGGACGGGAACCAGATTCCACCTTTTTTTTTTTTTCCTCCCTTAATAGTCTTAGAGAAATTTTCTTTCTCTACTTTTTAAGAATAGCCTATTGAAGTATGTCACGTATGATACAATTCGCCCATTTAAAGCGTACACTTCAATGACTTTTAGTACATTCACAAAGTTGTGCAACCATTACTACAGTCTGATGGTAGAACATTTTCATCGTCTCTCATGGGAGAGCAGCCTGGCATGGAGGGATGGGAGGAATTGTTGGGGGTCATCTTTGCATCCTTAGCTCAATAAAAAAGCCGTGATGATGCTATGAGATGGAGGGAAGTGGAGGACACGTAGATGAAACAAGAAAGGGCCATGGGTTCAAGCTGGGTAAGTAGGTACATTAAACTATCTTGTCTGTTTTATGTATAGGATTAAGTTTTTTCCATAATAAAAAGCTTTTTAAAAAAATACTATCTGGGCCATATACACCTTGGAAAACTTTTGTGTCTCCCCAGGGGTCTGATTACCCCAGTTTGAAAACTGTACAGTCTTGTGTGCCATCCCCTTGGCCTCAGGGCTGTCTCCCTCCAAGTATTACCCAGGGTTTGCACCTTTGAAAGCTATAGTGTACGTTTTCTGTTTACTGACCAATAATGGAAGCATTTTCTGTCCATACTTATAAACCTACGTCACTGTCCTAAACTGTTGCATCCACCAGTGTGGAGAAAGCATACTCTTCTCCCCTTCTGTTCAGCTGTTTTCCTACCTCCTGTCAAGGGTGGGGTTGAGGGAGGCTGTGGATGAGGTGAGAGATACAGGTTGAGAAAGGTGATTACAGGCTGAAGGAAATATAAAGACGTGGGGGAGGAAGACGGGCACATAAGGACCTAAGTCACAGTAAGTTGTTTGTGCTCTAATCATGGAAAGATTATTCCTAATGACAATGAACACTTTCCGAAATCTTCTCTCCCGGGGATCAGGGCCCTCTGCAACATCCCTCTGTCGTGGTAAATCAGCCCACTAATCGGCTCCCCCCAGAGATGGAGAAGTCTCTCTCCTTGAACGCAGCCAAATTAAGTAAAAATGTATTTGGCTGCAAATAATAGAGAATATAATTAACTGTACTTAAATAAGGAGTTTATTTTTCTCACATAAATAATCTAGAGATAGGTGGCTGCCTAATGTGGGTTCAGCTCCTCAACAATACTGTAAGGATCCTAAATTCTTACTCTTTCTGTTCTGCCATCCTTAGCAGGTCGAGTCTCATTTTTATGCTTCTAGCCTACAGACCACAACAGGGCTGCAGCATCTCCAGCTGTCTTATCTGAATTTGAGAAATGAAAGGAAAGGGGGAAAAGACCTTCTCTTCTTGAAGCCTTGTCTTTTAATTCATGGAGGGAAGTCCTACCACCCCCGTCTCATTGGCTCGAACTAGATGACCTGCCCATACTTAGGCAAATTACTGACCCTAGGAAAGGGAATACTGTGATAGGTTTAGACCAATCATCATTCGCTCTCAGAGTCTGGGGGGGGATCTGCTCTCTCTGAGATCAAGGGTTCTCCACTAACTTCTTGAACTAATCCAATCTCTGGTAGCAGGAAAGAGGGGCTGTTGCTGGGAAGAATGACTGTGGGTCGGCTATACAGGGTGCCTACCACGATGACCCTCTTTTGGTGGAATAGTCCTGGCTCATGGAAAGATTTTCCTTTATTGAACTAACACCCTCACCCTAGACCTCCACTTCTATCCCAGGTCCTGGTTTGCTTCCTGGAGCCACACAGAAAGGGATAGATCCAGGTTTTGTGGGTTCTGAAAATCATACAATTTGTCGGGGGGGGGGGAGCTCTTTAGGTGAAATAACATATTTAAGGAATCAGAATTCGGTGCAGGTCGGGGGCCAGGCCGCCCTGTGGCCGAGTGGTTAAGTTCACGGCTCAGCTTCAGAGTCCAGGGTTTCCGTGTTCTAATCCTGGGTGCAGTACAGGGCACCGCTCGTAAGGCCACGCAGAGGTGGCGTCCCACATGCCACAAGTGGAAGGACCCACAACTGAAAATACACAACTATGTACCGGGGGGCTTTGGGGAGAAAAAGGAAAAACAAAACCTTTAAAAAAAAGAATTAGGTGCAGGTCTTGGAAGGGGCCCACACAAATAAGCAGCCCTAAAGCTTAAATCTGATTATCTTCATGGTAAATCCACTTCTGCCCCCAAGAAGAAATGTAATCCCTCTTTCACATCACAACCCTTCAAATAACTGAGGACATTTGTCCAAGTCTGCAAAATCTTCTCCTCTTGTTCTGATTGCCAAGCTCTTTGCTGTCTTGGTCAGCTTCTCGGAATTGGTCCACACTGGTGGGGCCATTCATGCCAAGGTATTCTGAGCAGAGTGGAGCAGAGTGTCAATGAGATTCAGTCCTCCTAGACACTGAAGGAGTCCTGCATTCCAGAAGCCTCCATCAAAAAGAAAATACCCTCAGGAGAGTGGGTATCATGAAGAATTTGTTTATCAGACACTGGATTGAAGAGAGCACTACCTATTCAAAAAGTGCACACAATAAAATGAATCAAAAAACAAAACCAGTCACCAGGAAACACCACTCAAAGAAAGATTTTTTTTTTTGCTGAGGAAGATCCAAGCTAACATCTGTTGCCAATCTTCCTCTTTTTGCTTAAGGAAGATTGTTGCTGAGCTGACATCTGTGCCAATCTTCCTCTGTTTTGTATGTGGGTCACTGCCACAGCATGGTCACTGATGAGTGGTGTAGGTCCGTGCCTGGGAACTGAACCCAGGCCACTGAAGCGGAGTGCACCAAACTTAACCACTAGGCCATGGGGCCAGCCCCAGAGAGAGAATTTTATTAGCATATTACAAAGAGTCTAGGCTTTAGTTTAGAAGCTAAAAGATCTAAAACAACTTTAAATTCTGTCAAATGAGGATGAGACCACCTTTCTCACAGGGTAGTTATGAGCGTTACAGAAAAAAAGTGATCTGAAAATGTTTTCCAAAGTACACAACACTACATAGAAGGTAAGATAAATTTTACAAACCAAGGAACAAAAATACCTGGGTGCTGATAATAGAAGATGAGGGTCTCCTAAAATCGGGCCATGGCCTGGGCCTAATTTTGTACAATTTGGTAGTTCCTTTCAC